TCCCAGCACAATTTCACTTTTTTTCTTCCCAGCTATTCCCTTCTCTGACAATGTGCTGCCTCCTTCTCACCTACCCCTGGACACTTTCTTCCTATCGAGTCACAACCTTCCTCTAACCAAAATGCTTCCTTCATAACCTAAGAGAAAACCACAGTATCCCCCAGTGGGTTCACTGCTTGGAACAGTCTTTGGATGGTCCAACAACGTGAAAGAAATTCCTTTCCTTCAYGGAAAGGGAAAAAAAAGGTTGGAAGAGGTTTGCAGGTGAAGAGACCCAGAATCCCCAAATGGCTGAGGTTGGAAGGGACCTCTARAGATGATCTAGTCCAAYTCTCCTGCTCYASCAGGGAYACCTAGAGCATGTGGCACAGGGCCGCATCCAGGTGGGTTTTGAAGATGTACGGCAGAAGGAATTCCACAACTTCTCCAGGCAGCSTGTTCCGGGATCCTGTCACCCTCACAGTAAAGAAATTCTTCCACACATGCAGATGGGACCCCAACTGAAAGAATCAAAACCTACAAGAAGGGATTACAGTTTCTCAATTCCAGCAGGACAGAGGTAAACTACAGCCAGTCTGAGACTGCACAGCTTCAAACCTCAAGCACTCGTGATCTGCTACCCACAGGACATAYGTGGTGCTGCAATACTTGATCCCGGGAGCAGCTCTGATTTCTGCACAGGTGGCACCACTGTCCGGCCATGTCTCTTCATTGCTTCAGAAACTGCTCTTCTCCTGTTCAATTCCACCATCTAGTGGACATTACCAGGGAAGACCCGGCCGAGGCACACACAGCAGGACAAGAGTTGCTACAGGTCTGGTCATAAACTAAGCGTCATCCTCAGATTGCTCTTTTTTTTYCCCCCTACATCCTTGGTAAGACTTGCCCAAACACCTTTGTTACAGCAAGGAACAGATGTGCTCACTTAGCTTCTCAGYGTACATCTGAGCAAGTTCAGAACAAAGTACATATACCTGTGCCCCAGAAAGGGAGTTACACACTTTATACAAGATTTGTGTTAATCCTACSTATGGAAACCTAAAGAAGCGATAGAGAAGGCCCAAGGGGAATGTCCTGCTATGCAAAAGCAGGGAGGATGTCAAGGAGCCCAACTGATAGCTTCGAAAAAGATGTTCCAAATCAAAACCTGTGAAATTTGCTCGCCACTTCCCAATGATTTCTCATCACAGCTGCTAAGTTTATGTCAACGAAACATCAGATGAAAACCAGTGGTGAGCACATGCTGGAAATCAAACTTAGAAGAGTTTATCCAGAGTGTTCCAAGACCTGGCTGACCACTGCAACAGCTTTGATTTACATATGGATGTGAATGTGCCAACAGAAACTAAAAATACTGCTATTTTCAGAGCCTTCTTTACCAAAAAAAAYGTCATGTAGGATGTATGCACAAGAGAGCTACCACTGCCACCACTGAGGAAGCCTTCTAGCTGAYATTTGATAGTCCCACAAAAGGACTATTCCATCACCATTTCAGCAGTCGCACAGTAACAACGGAAGGTGCCTCTGGAGAGGAAAGCCCACTCTCAAGTCTTGATTTTCAGCTGCTTGCAACATTTGACAGGTTGTTCCGTTCCATCCCCCCAGGGCACTCCGTTAAGTAGCATCACCCACATCTGTGCCGTTTGGTCACGTGGAGGGCACTTAGGCCGCATTTGAAACAGTATGAGCTCAAATACACCCAATGTGACACACAAGACATAAACACGGACGCCAGGCATGWGGGGTGATACGTCGGCAAACCAGTAACAGCAAAGTCAAAATGTTTTCCCTGCAGTGCTGCCCAGTGTTGGGCTGGCAGCGAGCCTTCAGGCTGCAAGATCCTCTCGACAGCCTCAGCCAGGCGCCTGGATATCACATCACTGCCGACTGTCATAAAAACAAGATCACAGGGCCACCTGCAACAGTTGTTTTCATTGGTTAAAGCAAAGAGCTGCTAGCCTGAACCAGAATCTGATTGTTAACATCTTCTTGTGGCAGGTCACATTTTCATTTTCATGGCATTACCATGCTAAGAGCAGGCTCCTGTTAACACGAACAAAACCTGTTAAATAAGTAGAGTGGATTTATTAGATTACATCTATTACATATGCACAGTCAGTACGTATTTGCAACCTATATTTTAGGCCAAGGGTCAGGCCTCCTAAGGACAACACCATAAAGCAATAACATGACCACTATCTCCCTCCTCCCGCTCCAGAGTCCATATAATTTGCTCAATTTGAGATATCTATGATTCAACTTTTCTAGGTCGTTGTTACTCCACACTACTTAATATCCACCATCAGCTCCTACTGAGCTCATTTATCACTTAAGCAACACCAGCTACCTGACTCCCAAGGCCCAACGAAGCACTGTGGGAACGACTCTTGTCTCTAGGATTGGACACCCACACTCATACTACACACAACCCAAAAGTCAAGGGTCTACCTTCAGTCACAGAGCAGTTGCTGTGAGTAGACAGCATGTGCCTGCTCATGCAACAGGGGATGTTGGGTTGTCTTGATCCAGCTGCACAACAACTCAACCACCCTAGGCTGTATCAGGACGCTCAATGTACGCAGAGTGYGCACAAGCGAGCCCACACGGGCACCTTTTGCTCCATTTCTGCACTTATGTCCCTTTGTCAGAACTATGACTACCCTCTTACAAAAGGAAAAAAAAAAAAAGACAAAAGACCTTGGAAGCAAATATTCTTCTCACTTATGAGCTACCTCTGTAACAGAGGMAAATATGAACACTTCATGGAGAGACAAAATAGCACCGCTCGCCAACTCTGGAAGTAGATGCTCTCTCGGAGAAGGTCCTGTCAAGAGGACCAGACCCTGTGCACTACGTCGTGCACCATCACTGCACACCAACAGCCAGGGAAACTTCCTGCWCCTCGGAAAGGCAGCAGGTTAAGTGACTTCCCTGGCACGACAGAGTAACAGCAAGGCCACAGATGAATTTTCCAGAAGAGCATTTACACGAGATTCTCTGTTGGCTCTCGAGATCCTCATGAAAAGGCCAACAACCTGCAGCACAACCTCTTCCACGTGGCGGGACCCCAAGAGAAGCGGTAGCAGCAACCAGGACTCCAGTAGCAGGGGCCGACCGGCTTCCCTCGGCTGCTTCCCTCTTTTCTACCATTTGTACTTGGTGCTACCAGGCACAATTCTGAGCAGAGAGCGTATAAGTGAGGCATGGTAACTACATTAGAAGGCAACTCAATGTAGTCCCATTGCCAAATATATCAAAATATATCTTCTGTGCCATCAGACAACTTCTCTCATGGAAGAGAGCCAAGGTTTTAATATCATAGAAGGGGGAATACATTTAACATAAAGAGCATGAACTATGACAGAAAAGAGAGAAAAAAATAACACAGAAAATGAATCACAGCAGTAAAGATGATGCAGCACAGCACTGTATTACAGAAGCACAAAAAGTGAACAAAAGGAAAAGCCACATTCAACTGCAGCAACCTAACAGTCCAACAGCAGCAATGCAGGAGAAAATGAAGCCGTGTGATCCAGTGATTTAAAACTGTATTCCATGTCAGCAACTGTATTTGCCACAGACAAGCCTGATGCTCAAAGAACATAAAGAATAATTCATTTATTAATCCATAACTAAATTTATCATAGTTTAAGGCCAGGTGACACCGCGTGGGCAGGAGGAAAACGCATGCGAAGCACCTGGATGAGTATCCGGGCAACAGCAAGGTCCGCTCTGCGAGACAGGCAGAAGAAAGGTGTGAGACTCGCCCAGCAGCCAGGCACAGGCCACAGGTGAAGCGGAGACCGGGGGAAAAGCATCTTGTCACCACAACAGGGTGAGGATCCTCCTCTCCCCCTCTGCTTTTGCTTGCAGTTGTTCCTCTTCTGACAAGGATCGGCTGCTTGGATCCCTCTGGCCAGCAAGAGGAGAGGGGAGAGAGAGGGGAAAAAAAAATTAGGGCAAGTAAAGGTCTCTCCGTGCAGTATCTGGAGCCCCGGGAACTCCTTTCAGCTGCTTCTAGCACACACACAGCAGCTATTGCATCCAGCGTCAAAAGAGGCGGATTCCTCCCTCTTGAAAGCACCAAACCTTGCCTGCTTCTCCACTTCCTTCTCACATCAGYCCCAAGAGTCACTGCAAGGCCCAAGCTAAACGCCGGCCAGGGGAAAAATAAAAAATAAAAATATAAAATAAAATAACCCCACGCAGCTGCTTTCTCTTGACTCCGCAATGCCCTCAAGGCGCCGACGGGACGACAGCGGCAGCCGGTTCCCCTCCGCGAGGGCTGCCCGAGCGCAGCGCCCGGGACACGAGGCAGAGCAGCGGCGCGCGCCGCCTCAGCGCAACCGCCACCCGAGCGGCGGCGGCGGC